CCCTGCGGGTGCCCGAGGCTGCGGCACGGGTGTGTGCAGGCACGTGCTGCGGAGCCCTCGAGGAACAAACCGAGGGCTTCAGCCGCGGCTAAAACCTTTTGGAGGTGTTTTTGGGGACTACGTGCATTCAAAACTTGTAATGTATTGTGTGGGCAGCCCTGCTAGGCTTTGTGTATTATGTGTATTAGCTCTTAAGGGGTGCTTTTTTTTTTTTTTTCTTTTTAATTTTCTAGAGAGGAGGTGAAAGTAACACTGATGTTCTTTAATAAAACATGTAACGTGCATGTCGTCACTTCCATGCTCCCGTTCCCTTCCGATACGGACTCATACTCCTGTAGGATTCCAGGGCCATTACCACTCCTACACAGTGGTTAATGCCTAACAGCCCTTCTAAAGCTAAGCCTTTAGTCTTAAAAAAGCTTCCTCTTTGGCTTTCAGACTTTGCATTTCCTTACAACTTGGGTCTTAGGTTAAACGCAAAAAAAAAATTGTGTTTTATGTGAAAGATACAGAATGTAAGAAATATCAGGCAACTGTTTGCTTGCTTTTGTACTGACAAAGGCAAATAGCAATTGCTCATTAAATGTCGCTTTGGATTTAATGTCCCACTATACTGAGTTAGGGAGCTGTAAAGCAAAGCAGAGATGAGATTTGTTTAGGTAAATGGTGAAATAGGTTTCATTGTCTTCACTTGTTCTCATTCTTGCCATTAAATAATCCTCCTGTAGTCCAGGTTCAGGCTAATTTTAGATGTTTTGGTAGGCAAGGAAGGTACTTCTTTTCTCTTTCATGCCTAGCTATCAATCTGCAAGAGTGAATTCACTCTGACAGGCATTTCCTACCAGCTTGATACCTTCCTTTTTATTTCTGTCAAACCAAGCGCAGCTCTATTAAAATTTGCAGGGGAAGAAACTCCCAAGGCAGAGCTTTCTTTAAGCTGGGTCTGTAACTGCTCCCTCGCCATTGGTTCAGGATGCCACTGAGTCTTGTGGCTGTATTAAACCCCTGATGTTTGGGGGCATAATTGCTCTGTGTCTTTGTTCTGGGAAGTAGTGAAGGAAGGTATTTGGGGGTTGTCAAATTTGTGTTAAAGGTGCTATATCCAAAGATAAATAAGCAGGAATTTGGATAGAATATTCTTGATTTGCAGGTACATCTGCACCAACAAAATATGCTCCCTGCAAAGACATTACCAGCACAGCAAGGTGTGGGAGACACTGCCATCATTTTGAGTGTGAAAACTGCCCCATCTCTCCTGCCTGGTGAGTCTTGCTAGTCCTCAGAAGCACTGTGTCCTCTTCCCTGGCTGTTCCTTTTGCTAGTCAGGAGTGGTGATGAGGAATGAAGGCAAAACACTGTGAACTGGAAGTTTTACAGACCAGTGCAGTGGTTCGTCTCATGAGATTTAGTGAGTTTGTAAGAATACCAAATATTAGGACCTGGTTGTGCAATTTGTTTTATTACACCACCAATATACTCAGAAATTGGTGGCCTTTTTAATTTTTTTTTCCCAGAGACTATGCCTATGTGATCTGGCTATGTAGCAAGGGGATCAGGGTGAGTGAGCTGTCATGTAAAATACAAAAATGTTTGTAGAAGGTTTTGCTGGGCAAAGGCAGCTAATGCAGGCAGTGAGAATTTTTTTGGTGGCCCCCTACATAACAAATCAGTCACTGTCTGGCTCTTTGCAAAATACAAACTCCTCTAAAAGAAGTCTTGTGGATAAAGGAAACTAGTTTTGGTTTGAAGTTTTATTTGGGCTTTTTCCTTTTCTGCTGCAGTGGATCTGCACTGCTTTATTCTGTTAAAATTCTCTCACTGAGATTAAAACCAGGGAGACATAAGAATGTAAAAGGAGGAGACATAAGAATGTAAAAAATCAGTCTGAGTTCAGTTTAAGAGAAGGTCAGAGAGCAACAAGTCGCTGGAAATATTCCCAGTGCCCACAGCTGAGGTTGTGCTGCAGAGTTTGCTGCAGTTGCAGTGAAAGCTCCAGATGACTCTTCAGTAAAATGCTATGCGACTTAGACATTGCTCAAATTCTTTTGATGCAGGTATTGTTGGAAAACATCTTTTATTTGTAACACAGACTAGGTTGTAGATGATTCATGAGGAGGTCAGTACCTCATCATGAATTGGTAAATACTGTGTGGAATATCTGAAATGGGACTTGGGAAAAACTAATGAAAAGGTTAAGTTTGCTTCTGCAAAAAGGCTTTTTTTGCAAATAATAAAATAGGGAGCCTGTGGTCAAGCACTAATAATCTGTATTCAGGTTTTTAGTTTCTGTCAATAATCCTGAGTGCTCACTGCAATATCAGTTTTTGTTTGAAGTCTGTCCTGCCTTACTCTAGTCTGTGTTTGTAAATGAGAAATCTAAGATCTGTGTGGAGCAAGACAGGTAATTAATCATGGAAGTGTGAATACCCAGCTGAGGCGCCTTACGATCTTAGTTGAACTTTCCAGTCAGTGTCAGCTGGGGGTCTTAAAGGAACGCTGCTGGGTTTAAAAACAACTGATTTAATTCTAGAGATATCATTAACTCAGATAACACAGAGTTGAAAAACTAGAAAGACTCTTTAAAAATATCAAATATTAGTTTATTAGAATTGTTTATTTGGCACCTGTGAATGGTTGTTTTTACCATTTATTCTGTGACTTCTGCCAGTCTCCCTTACTGGAATACATTCCCAGGGATAAGGAAAGCCTTACCTTATAAGAGATGCTGGTAATTTTTAATTAAAATCATTGCAAAGCAACAGTAAGATAATGTATGTAGTTGTGTAGGGGATATGAATAACAGTTGTGAATAACAGTTGCAAATAATGTATGTTCAATTTAGCTGTAGTTATGCAAATGAAAAATAGAAAATTGGAAGACATTGAAGGTAAAAAAGAGTTCATAAATAAAAAAATTAATTGGAACTTTCCAGGGGTGTAGTTCAGAAACAAAATTTAGTAACAAAGATGTCAGCTCACGTATTTGGTGCTTTTTATAGAACAGTTGTTATTATCCATCCTTGTGTTTACTGCCTATTAAAAAGATCAAGATAATTTGTGTGAGTAATACCTAATTTCCTTATGTGGAGTAAGTTTTATGTTGGGTAATAAAAGAAGGATCCTGTGGGGAGGCAGAAATCCTCTGCCATTGCCCCAGTGCTCTCCTCATCACAGCTGGTCTCTACAGGGTGCTCATTAGTAGATGCTTTTTCATAGAATTTCAGGTAAGCTGTGTAAGTTTTTCCTCCCTGACAGATTAGTAACCTGTGAATGTTCCTCTTAACTAGAATTCTTTTATTAGTTACTGAGAAAACTTGCACTGGGACAAGTAATTGGAACTCCTTCCCAGCTTGGAGTTGAGAAGATAGAGTGAAAACACCATGGTATTTCTTTGTTAATACCAATTCTGTGAAGGACTTGTTAAAAGGACAATGTAAATATTTATACTTTCCAACTGTAGTTGTTTGAAAACAGATGTATTCTTTCAGGCTTTAACTGATTTCCCACGATGTTTGCAAAAGCAACAAAGAATTTTGTGAGAGAAACTGACAGTGGAGGTGACCTGATCCCTGTCTCCCACTTGAACGCCTCAGACAAGCTGCAGCTTTTGAGCTTAGTTACGAAGAGGAGGAAATTCTGGTGCTGGCAGAAGCCCAAGTATCATTTCTTGACAGTCACCCTGAGTGATGTGCTTACTGAGGACAAACCAATAAAACCAGGTAAAGCCGTACTTGGGCAGCACTATTCTGCAGATAAAAGCAATACAATCCCTAACCTGTTCTGTTATTATTCTCAATTATGTTATTAGAGGGCTCCTTTCAGAGGAATGCTCTGAAGGAATCCTCCATCCATGGGAATGAGATGAATGGATCTTTTCTCACTTGACCATTTATGTAACTAAAACTGGTAGTAATAAATGTTGGTTAAACAAAGAAGAAAGTTTTGCCTGGGTAGAGTATTAAATTAAGTGCTGAATGTTGTCAGGCTGTATAGTCCTGCTGTTTAATAACAGTAGCTGTCTTGCAGCTACAAGAATATCCCTAGAATATTATAGGGGCTTGTATGTGATAGTAGTGTGAAACTGTACTGTAGTAGTGTGAAACTGTACTGTGCTTCAGGTCAAAAGCAGTGAATATACAGTGTCTGGTTGGTGTTAGTAGCCTGGGGAATGCTTCCAGCCCAGGCCAGGTGAGTTTTACCACCCATTGTTTGTCTTGCACAGACTGTTAAAAAAGGTTGACCTCTGTACTTTTTTCTTCATCCAACTGTAGCAGTCCACCCATGTTTTAAGATTAATGAGAAGGAATCCCAAATTCTGGACATGTCATAATTCCATACAGGAAAATAGATAACATCTCCCTAACCTAAGATGTTAATTGTAGCTGGCTTGGAAATATAGCTGATTCTGAGTCAACTCTCTGGTATATAAAATTTTTAGGTATATAAAATTCAGAGTTGTTTTAAACCAGTTAGATTTTTCCATTGGTTTTCAGTGAGCTTTGGGACAGCCCCATGATGAGATGTGTCAAAATAATGCCAAAATACTAGCGCTGTTGTACAAGCAGTTCTGCTTTGTAGTTTTCTTTGTAGCTGAAATAAATTTAAATCATTCTTTATAAATATTTCATAGTGTTTGTGTTCAGCACTTCAGTCACCTTATGTTTTCCTAAAATGGCAAAATACTAAAGATAGTAGGGCAAAGATGATGAAAACATGAAGAGAGCAGATGCAAGAGTTGCAGAGATGTAAATTTTACTATTTACCTCTTCATACTGTTCCTTGCCTTTGCTAACTTGTCATATTTTCTGTAAGTATCTGTTCCTCCAATCACTTAAAGACAGTTTCAGCACTTCTCTTCAAAGAAATTACTGTTATTGCTTTCCTAGTGATTGTGGAGTCTGACTTTGCAAAATATATGGGGAAGTTTGAAGATTTTGTTCAAGGAAGTATTGAAACATCATTTGTGAAGTTCAGCCTGGGAGCTGGAGGGAAAGGTTATGTGGAAAACCAGTCCTCATTTGGAAACCTGAGGAAGCAGGAGGTTGACTTGCAGCAGCTCATGAAAGATGTCAAGGACAGGTATGTTTCTAATGTGGGTGTTGTAGTGGCCAGGAGAGATTACTGAGCTGAAAAGACTTGGGCCAGCTGTGGTCACTCACCAATAAATTTTGTGGTGCTGCCACAGTTTGAAAATTATTTTTATTGTAAGCTTTCATATTCATGACAAATCATATGTAAAAAAATGAATTTCTCCATATTTTGCAATCTTGTTAGTCAGACTTTTCTCTTTCGTGTTTTAAAAACATCTCTCTGTTATTTCATTTTACATTTTTGCATGAATTACTACCTGGGGCAAGAGCCAAATCCTCCCTTCTTTAAGGGACTGGGCATGAGTAACAATCTGGAAAAAAATAGTTCTCTGTGTTACTGGGGCATTGAATATGGAAATTGAATTCAGAACCACTAATGTTCTTGTAAGCAGACTTTGTAATTTTGTGTGTGTGAGTGACCATGTTAGAAAATGAGATTATTTGAAGTTAAAGGAATAGCAAAGGTGAGCAGGCATAGTCAAGGCATATTCTACTAGCTGAACAAAATATAGATATGTTGCTTCCTGTTATACACTCTATTAACTGAGGGGAACCATGTTCTTTATTTTCCAAGATATGCAACACTTCCTCACTTCCTGTCCTACTCTGAAATGGGATCTATTTAATGTTGCAATGGAGTGTCATGGACCAAAGCCTGTTTGGCAGCCAGCTGACAAGTCAGGGGTCTCTATTGCAGGTCGAAGCTCAGTGGGAGATGAGGGTGCTTTATTTGTGACAGCATTGTACTCTACATCTGTAGCAGGGGCTGTAATGAATTTAAATAGCCTTTGCTGATGCTCTGAAGATAAAGATGATAGGTTTTTGCTATCAGTGCAGAAATTGTCAGAAGCAATGTAAATTTGCTTTAGATACACTGATGTTCTAGAAATAATCAATTCTCCATTTTCATGGCTGGTGTTCCTCTTATATTGTGAGCATTCACAAGACAACAAATTTATTCTAATAAGGCACCTTGCTCTCTTTGTACTAAGTGCCTTATTAAAAGCAGAAAATACTGGGCCAAATGTGTGTACCAAGCCTGTAAAATTAATCTGCATGTAATACCAAGACAATACTATCAATCAATATTTAGAGTCTTGTTTGTAGCACTAGGTAGAGTCCTATGGAGAAACAAACTACAGTAACTTTTATTTAGGATCAGTAAGCTTTTACTTGAAGTTACCTACTCTGTTCACAAAAAGAATCCTCCCCCAGCAAATCAGCACATCTTGGAGTTCCAATCCTTTATGTAACTAAATACTCAGAAATATATTATCTTCTTTTGAGTGTTGAAAATCAGTAGTTGTACACTGATCTATGTGTGACTGTTAACTGAAGTTGATGTGCGTGCCACTTTATGTGAGGCAGTAGGTCTTAGTTCATAAAAAATATGCTCATAGCTTATTAAAGCTTATGATGCACAGTGTATAATTGAAACTGAGTCAGTCTGCCTTCTGCCAGGTCACTGATGAGGATAGCAGAATTTTTATTTTTTTCTCCAGTGTAATGCAGAGGCTCACTGGAAATTGTTGACAATGCCTTGTAGATGAAATTCTACTTACTTGTTCATAAATATTCTATGATTTATGATTGATTGTGTCCGAGCTTCAAACTTTCATCTCGTTCATGAGTATTGTGTGAAATTCAGGAGTGCTGATGCCTACAAGTTAGTGCTTTTTGGATGCAAAACATAACAGAACTTATAAGAGCATGTTTACCTGTCAGGCCTTGTGAAATGTGAGGCAGCAAACTGTTCTTGATGTCATTTAACAGCGCATGGTGCTTGTGCTTGTTTGATCAATCATTGTTTCCTTTAATATTTCTACATATATAACCTAATTAAGTTGCATTTTTAAGATGTTCTTCTATTAGGCTGATTAAGTCAAAGCTGCCTATTAGTAGCAATAAACTCTAAAAAGTCAAAGCTTTTAAAATAAGTTACGTGAGTCTTCAGAGTTGAGCAGGCTGAAAGTGCTCAGTGGCAGCAAATCAGTTTCCTGTCACTTCTTAGGTGAACCTTCTGAAGGAGAATCCTACTGATCTTTTAATTAAATTCCAGATGCTTCATTAGCTCCTTTTGCTGAAAAAGGGTGGAAGCTGAAGGATGTGGGCTGAGATGCTTCCTGGTTTGCAGAAGCAGCGACGTTGTAAATGCAGAACACAATAATTAACATAATACCTAAATACCTAAAGTACAGTTAAACAATATTTTTAGGTACACAAACTTGGCATATTTGCCTTTACATTATTTTTGATTCTGTATTACATAGTGCTTACTGGTTCACAGAGCACTGTAACAGGCTGATACATGATTTGGGGCAGAGTCCTGTGCCTTCAGCTCAATTGATTTGTAATGGATTTAAGATACTATATTCCATCTTCTATTTTAAGGCTTTCAGTACTGTCTGCCATAAGATCCTCTTAGAGAAGTTGATGAAGTATGGGCTGGATGAGCCACTTTTCAGTGGTGCCCAGAGACAGAGCAGAAGGCAGTGGGCACAATCTGAGACACAGGAGGCTCTGTCTGAACATGAGGAAACTCTTCTTCACTGTGAGGGTGGCTGAGCACAGGTTGCCTGAGGGGGCTGTGGAGTTCCTCACCTTGGAGACATGATCCTAGGCAGACTGCTCCAGGTGGCCCTTCTAAAGCAGGAGGTTGGGCCAGATGACTGTCCAACCTCAACCATTCTGTCTTCTTCCCTCCAGTAAAAAGGATTATGAGGATATTATAATCTCTGTATTTCTCATATATTAACAAATTTGCTTGTTTGTTTTATACCATTTCACTAGAAGTCATGGAAGGTGATTGAATGAGAAGTTCTGAGAGGACAGGGCTAGCAGTCAGGCAGTTCACATCCGCTGCAGAAAAAGTTGCCTGTCACACTTCCATCATTTTGTGTGAATGATTCCTAACTCTGTGATTAGCATGTTAGGAAAAGAGTTGTGTTTTTAACAACGTGCTCTGGCATGCCTGAAAGATACTTTCATACTGTTGCATATTGCATTTTAGTTGAATTAGTGAAACTGCATGGTATTGTCCATCCAGAGACAAAAATAAATATCTATTCTTAATCTGAGTACAGTGGAAATTCAGACCATTTTATGATTTATTGTTTATAACTCCTTGAGCATTTATGAGTAAGATGAGAAAACTATTCAGTTTCCTGCCTAAACTGCTACATGAGATAATATGAAGTCACACAGTGTTGTGAGACAGGATTGAATAAAAGCAACTGTGTGTGCCTGTGATTTAAAAAATAAGAAGCATGTTAAATAGAAAATAGAGACACTACCTTGCAGTCTGAGATGTCTCTGTTATTCTTAGGGAAGATGTTCTGTGAAGTACGTGTCAGGTTATTCTGTAGGGAAAATAATGAAATGCTATCAATAAGCTGACTATTGCAGATGCTGTGTTCTGTAAGAAGTAGGTCAGAGAGGTTATATTTGAAGTGGATTAACAAAAGAAATATGCATCTGTGCTTGGTGGAAAATGGCAGAGTGAGATTTTAGTCTCTGGCACTCATCTCTATTAGAGCAGGAACAAAGCTGGGTGAAGGCTCTCACTTGCAACAAGCACTATTTGTGTGGAAGAATCAGACTGCTGCACATTATAAATGAAGTAGAGAAGAAGCTGTGAGCATGAGCTGCCTGTGTCTCTGCAGCTGGGAGAGGAGGTGTATTGAGGTGACATTGCCCAGTAGAGGACTGAAAAGGTTTTTTACTTGTGAGTAGTTTGGACTAGGGAAAATTTGTGCAGAGAGGCAGCAGTGCTGATTTCAATGTGAGGATGGAGACTACTCACAACAATACCCAATTCCTACAATACTCTTGGTATTTGCAGGAAATTGACAAGTACCTTGCTTTGAGGATTTGTGGGTGGGTTACTGAGATGGTTAGACAGGATTTGATGGAAAATGGTCCTAAGGCCTCTCCTTTGTGGCAAGTTACATCAAGTTCCATGCCTAAAGGAAAGACCCTCAGTCTCAGCAGTGGGCTTTTTAGCAGGCTCGTGCTCTCTTCTGTGAGAGCCTGCTATATTGCCAGGTGTGTTCTGTTTTTTCTTGTCTTTGTTTGGTTTCTGCTTTTCTCTTTGTTTGGTTTCTGCTTTTCTCTTTCTCTTTTCTTTCCAGTCTGCAGCAAATTGCCTTTATGTCTCTATTGTCTACTACTTTCCTAGTCTGAGAAGAAAAATCCTGAATGAAGGTGAAAGAAGTCTTTGCATTATAGGAGAATAGAAGTGTTTAATCTAGTTAAACGTTGAGTGAGACCAAAACTCAGAGAAATTATTTTATTTGCATGTTTGACCTACAAAGCTTCCAGCACAGTAAATCATTGATCACAGGAAGATTGTTTAGGCAGAACAAATAATCAAGTAAAACCTCTAATTTGTATTTTTAAAATACTTTTTATTTATACAGGCTTGTACTCTGTGTGTTGATAATGGGACTTGGCAGACCACCATCTCATTATATTTTCTATAGTGTTATTTTTGAGTGCTTCAGCTCCTTGGGGTGGGAATGGCAATGGTGTTGTTGTACAAATGGCACAGGGTTGGTGGGGGCTCTTGTGCAGTACAGAGTGAAAGAGATGGTAAGAGCCATGGTTGTAGAACAGAAATAAAAGCTCTGAAACATGACCTGTAAAATTAAAAAAAAATCAGTGCAATTTATGTGCCTTGCATGCATATATTCTCAGGGATTTAACTTGGCCAATTTGTGTTACTCAGATATTTTCTTATATTCAGTGTTATGCTGGCAAGTAAGTTCAGTTCTTGCAAAAATACTGTCATAGACTCAGCAGCCATTGCCCTGCAATACTTGAGGCCCTGCTCTGATTATCAAACTTTAACCCTGTTGTGGATTGTTCTTGATGACTGTTTTCAGTGATAATTTAGATAAGATAATTGCTTACCTCGTGTCATCATCTCCTGTTTGAGTTGCTGAGGAGAGCAGAATATTTTGCCTTCAACAGGCTGTGCCCCAGTAATAACTCATGATGTGCCCACATGCAACCCCAGAGCTGTGTTTTATGATGGAAAGTTCAGTGCCAGAAGTCTAGAGGAGAGCACTTAACTGTGCTGTCCTCAAAGAGAAGGTTTCTGTTGCTGTGGGCAAGGCTGTGTGTTTGAAAGCTCTGAACTTGGAGCTCACTGACGTTACTGGGCAGAGGAGAACATTTCTGACAGCTTTACAATGGGACACATCCCACTGAAGTCATTTGAGCCTCGGGGCTGTGGCAGTGGCTGGCACACATTCAGCTCTGTGCAGGGGATTCCAGGTCACCTCTGGGCACTGCCTGGGGAGTGCTGCTGCAGCAGGTGGCTCTGTGTGTCCCTATGTGTCCCTGTGTGTCCCTGTCACTCCATAGCCCTCAGTGCTGCCCCAGCTCCTCCAGCGCTGCCTCCAGGATTTGTGCACTGCCCCTCTCTGCAAGTTAACATCTTCTGACTCTGCTGCTTCTTCTGCATCTGGGCCTCAAAGCCAGGAGTGTGACAGGGTCTGAGCCTGCCCTGCCTCAGGCAGAATACTGTAGAAGCAGGTGGAAGAAAAAGTCTCTTGAATTTGTTTGGTGATTCATTTGCATAGGTCATACTCTGTAGGCTTTGTCAACTAATACTTATTCAGAAATAGCAAATCTTTATTTAATAGGTGTTTTTCTACCTTTATCTGAGGGGCTTTTTTCCTGTAAATTTTGTAGATATCCAGCAAGTTTGTCATCCTCTTAAACAGTCAAAAATACACGTGAAAGCAAGTGACAAATCGTTTTTGTGCTCCTTCATTGTAATTTTTCCCCTGTGGCTGCCTAGGTCAAATGTTAAAAGTGCAAGTTCTTAGTGCATTCACTTGTATTTTCAGGATGCTTAGCACACCACTTTAGAAACATAGATAATTATTGTGGAGTGTATGATAGGCTTGATAGACTGTAACTAATGGCTCTGGTTTGGCAGACACTTCTGAGAATGGTGAGGTTTGTGGTTGCTTGATGTTTCTTGAATTTTTGCTTAATCCAAAGGTTCATTGCATTCCAAGCATAAAGCATGACTTTGCACCAAATGAAAAAAGGTTATATTAATAATCTCAGGAATGTTTGGGGCTGCTGCATTGCTTCAGAGATATTTTCTTTCCCTTGTCTAAACAATCAACTTTAAGGTTTTCAGACAGTTCATTCCAACTGATTGAACTTTCATATAAGCATGTAACTCTCCAAAGATCAAAAATTGCCTGAGGATATTTTTAATTCAATAAAAACCCCAGCTGACTTCAGACTTATACAGACTGCATAAATTCAGAGCTCCAGAATCTAATAAATCTAAAACTTTTTAATTAAAAGTGGAGATATCTCGATTTAAATGAATTGGAGTCAGACATGTCTTTCTGTCACATTTTTGGGAAATTGCCATTTAGCTCCATGAATAGCCATTTAGAATAAAAGAGAGGAGAAAAGACTGAATATTTTGAGTCAGGGATAGCAGTCCTTTAATCTTCCAACAGTATTGCTAGATTACCTGTTCATGAAAAATATAACATCTCATCTGAGGACCTCCAGTGAATATTTTGCAAAAGTATAATATAATTGATATATTTTAATCAATTAAATACAATTAAGAAATTGCTTTAACTGTTACCAAAAAGTCTGTTAACACCCCAAAAGACAAGGTAGTAGATTTTGTAACATTTTCTTAGAAAATTAACCTCCTGTAATGTTTCTGGAGATCACTTTCTGTCTTCTGCTCATTCTAAGAAGAACCTAACGTTAGAACCGTTTCCAGCAGCATTTAAACAGATGCTGAATTGTGCTGTGGAGTAGGGATGGTTTATTAAGTTGGTGCCTGGGCTAGGGTTTTGAGCCCCTCCCTCCCCCCAGGTTAGTTTTTCTTTCGACTGTGGCAGTCCTGGTCACCAATTTTGAATTTTGTGTCTATACCAATAAATAACACAGGATTTTGAAGCAGGTGAGTAATCCCCAGTCTCAAAATCAATGAAATCTTCTGTTTTCTCATTCAGCCCTTTGAAATACTTGGTCAGTGGTGCTGATCCCACTCAGCCTGTTTGGGGTTTAGATGAGCGCTGAAGCAGATCCACAGCAAGCAGTGGGGGTTGGCACTGAGGCACTGCTGTGCTTGTGTCCCCCAGCCAGCATCCCCTGCCATGGCAATGTCAGTGTGAGCTCACAGTAGGAGAGGATTCAGTCCAGTGTCCAAGAGCTTGACTGGTTGCTTTTGTATTACCCAGGAAACTTAAAGTTGCCTTTGCTTCCCTCTTGCTTTTTTCTTTGCTTAGAAAGTATCCGGACAACTTCCATTTTTGCTCAGAGTAGGGAATCAAGAATTCAGTGTATATTCAATATGTATGTGAGGATTTACTGTGGAAAACAGATATTTGCTGCTGCCAAATAACAAAAGAGGACATCATAATTTTGTGGAGGTTGCTCATATGGAAACCATTGTCATTTTTGCAATAAACCTTCTTCAAGTAATTAAGACAATATGGTTGATTTTGTTTTTTGGGGTTTTTTCACAATTATAGTATTGTTAATGGTATATTTTTCTTTTTCAGAACAATAGATCTAAACAGTAGTTTGCTGCAACAAGTAATAGAAAGAAAACGTGAAGTGTTGTGCATCTTGAGAGAAAAGATAATCACAACTCAGAGGTGTACAATATCTGAACATATCCAGACAGAAGAGAAAGTCAGTGGTGTGGTGGGATGCACTGCAAAAACAATAAAGGTAAAAGTTCCTAAAAATCTGCAGAGATCAGAACATTTGAACATTGAGAAGAAATTATTTCTCCAAATGGAATTCAGAGTATTTTTTGTGCTTTCCTAATGTGCTGAACAAACTGCAGTGCTTGGTTGTGAAAATTCTGTATGGTAAAATGTTTTTTCCATTGCCTTTCTAGCAAAAGGTGCCATATTTTTGTATGAGCCTGGAATGTAGTTTCCATCAATACTATCAATTGGGATTCTGTTTCTCTGTAGATTCCTGCCTACAGCAGAACATGAAGCAAACCTAAAACTATTCATTGCGATTGAATAGCAAAATGCATTGCTGAATCACATTTATTTGAAAAGCCAAGTAATCATTCATCACAAATCGTTGCAGTGTCTACTGAGTTTTCATATTTATTGGGAAACTATTTGTTTTTGATCGTGGGAGTAGAGATTAACTGCATTATGAGGCTATCTGAAGAATTGCCTGTGAATTGAGAAGGAATTACTGAAGTCAAAACATGCTCATTCACTGCAAGTCGTTTGTGTTTTTTTTAAAGCTGGAAGTCACTTGTGTGTACAGTGTGTCTCCAGTTGTAGGAATCTGGGAATTGCAGTGTAACAATCCCCTTTGCAAGTGCCACATTCCTGGTGCCAGCCTCCAGCTGGGCAAAGGAAATGTCACAGGGGAATTGGGCAAGGCAGGACACTCAAGTGGGTGCCCATTTCACATTGACATGGCAAAAGCTACACCTGGAGCTCAACTTTGTGCTAGGACAGGGTAGCTAAGAGCATGAGAGCTGCTCTTGGCACTGTGTTTCTACCTCATTCTTCATCTAGTTCCTTTCTTAGATGCCAGATGGAGGGTGTAACACTTTGATGAGACATCATGAAGAATAAAGGATATTCTCCCTCTGTATTTTTCACCTTAATTACATGTTTAAGCTATGCAGTAGCTGAATCAGATAAATGGTGAATAAATCTGTCTTGTAGGTTTCAGTAAGTGAGAATGGAAGTCTGATGAAGGATTCTAGCGTGATCCTTGAAATTCCTCCTGCAACCACTATTGCCTATGGTGTAATTGAACTGTTTATAAAGCACAATGGCCAGTTTGGTAAGTGAAAAACTCTTTTTTTTGTGGCACACAGTTCAACTGTGGACAAAGCTGTTTGTCAGACAGTGATTTTTGTGTTTCCCTGTGTGTGAAGGTGATTATGTTGTGTGGTGTCCTTTGCCTTGATAGTTATTTGTGCTAGAGATGCAGATTTAGTAAGTTTAAAACTTTGATATAGTAATGCTTTTTCAGTGGCTTGAATGCACTGTAATCTCAGAGTGACTTAGGTTTCAGGGAACCACAGGAGATTGTGTAGCTTGAGCCTCTGCTTAAGGCAAGGCCAGCTTTTGAACTCTGATCTAAGTTCAGTTAGATCAGATTGCTCATATCCGTATCTGTTATAAAGTTTTGAGTTATCTTCAGAGACAGAGATTCCATCACTCCTCTGGGCAGCCTGTTCCCATGTTTGACCACTGTGGTAGTGAAGTTGTTTTCCTCAGTATCTGCTGTTTGGTAGATAGCTCCAGTCTGTGAATGTGAGGCTTGTTCTCAAGAGTCCAAAACTGGACATAGCACTCTGAATGCACTTTCCCAAATTGAAAATTCAGTTCCATCAATGCACCAGCTACAGTCTTGTCAGTGCAGCCCAGCATGCAGCTGTTCTGGTTTAGGGCAAATTTGGGAGCAAGCTTCAATAACTGCAAGGGCAAGCTACTGATCCTCTCGGATTTATTGTCCATGTCTTTCACTGCAATTTTGCTTCCAGCCAGCTGGCCCTTGGCCTGGGCTATTCCCTGTGCTTGTTGCAGAGAGTGACCTGACTGTAAATCAGATATCAACCAGGAGTGTTTAGACAACAGTCATGTTAAGAACAGAATCCTACATTTGGGACTGGAATTTAAACTTTTCTAGCTTACACTTTCATTTAAAGATTGCCCTCAGAGTGGTTGCAGAAATGCCCTTGTGCTGTTGTCTGGTCATGCTTTACTTATGTCAAGTCGAATATTTTTCAGGTTAAAAAAATGTTGAAATTGGCTTTGGGGGGAGTTGTATCTCTGCTCTGCACAATCACTTGGGTTTTTCTTTCTTGTCTATCCTCATTTAAACTCATGGACCTAAAGGAGGTTTCAGAGGATGTTATGCAAGGAGGAATAAAATCAGATAGTAGAGGTGGAAGATGGGAAGGACTGATGTGGAGAGAAACAGGAGATACACTGAAGAAATAATTGGAGTAGAGTTGAGATTTGAATATGGGATGTGCTTTACTTGGATGAGAAATGCTGAAAATTAACTCTCCATCGTACTCCTTCTGATATAAAGAAAGTCTGTAGGCTCAAGAATAGAAGTAAATATTATGTAACCTGTAAAAAGTTTCTGAAAAGTGGAATTGCTCTGATGTAGCCTGAACACAGAGATAGTAGCAGAGGATGTTGATGTCATGGTTATAATGGAGCTGTAATTCAGAGTAATGAGGTGCAATTAAGGCTGTCTGACTGCATAGGTATATAACTGATAGCCTACTTAGATTTTTTCTACATGAAATTATGATGTCCTGCTAGCTAAGAATACATAGGTCTTGTTAATGATCTGTATTTCTCTGCTCTTTTTCCACTTCTGCTGCTTTTTTCACTTTTTTTTTGTATTTAATATTAACATCTTTTAAGCTTCGAAACCAGTTTGTTTCATGTTTTATCTTAAACAATCTATGTCCTGCCTCTTTTCTTTTTTAATTTGTGCTATTTTCCCTTGCCTGAATGACATTGAGAAGGTAAAGGAGAGGAACTGACAACTAAATTAGTGCTTTGCCAGCGAGAGTAAGTGTGGTGGAGCCTAAACTTCAACTTATTAATGTCTGAGCAGCAGGGATCAGTGTCTGTTTATGGGAATAGGAAAAGCCTTTGAAGTTAAATCCAAGGAGTAATGTAGTCCTTTCTCATGAGACTGAAAGTGACCAATAGCAGGTGTAACCTAATGGGATTCTCTTCACAGATAATTATGGAGTAAGATGCATGTAAGCTTTTTATTGTTTCATTTTCTTTTCCACTGCCAGTACCTGAGTTTTTCTGTTAGGAAGAATGCTATATATTTCTTCTACATGTTTTGACTAGTGCAACTAGACATATTTGGATATTTTTATAAATAAAATAAATTAAAAAATAAGAAGGATCTTAACTTTTCTGATCCATTTACCATTGTGCTTTCCTGTAATCATTCTCTTTGATTTCAGCAGGCTAATTCTTAACTCCATGTAAAAGCTGTTGCTGCTTAAGGCTTTGCAGTTTTGTGTCTCTAAAGTTGTGCTGAAGTACCTCTTGTTCATGCTTTACAAATCGGGGGATATAAAAGCACCCAGCTGATTTGTTTTGTTCTGTTCATGGCTATTTGTGTGTGGTTTGCTTTTTCTTAAATGTCTGTAAATTAAGCAGTCCCAATATATCCACTTTTCCACATAAAGGAGTCTCTTTGATTGTTTTTGTTGATCATCTCTGGTTTTCTTGCATTTTTGTTAACATTTCTGAGTAACTAACAAGCTCTAACTGCACTGTTCTATGTTTGTCATTGATGAATGTAATAGAATTCAATACAGAATTTATTAACAATCCTCTTAATACAGAATTTTGAGTCCTGTGTTTTCCTGTGAATTGAGTCCTGCTACAAGATTAAACAACATCATCTGAAAAGTTCTATTTCCCTTATTAGCATCATTTTGCCTCAGGAGGGGAGGCAGTGTATTAGCAGAGTTTTCCTCCTCAGGGTTCCTGTGAAAGCCTTGTTCTTTTCAATGACAGTAACATGAATGAGTTGGCCTTGTGGTGCCTCAGCTGCTGTCCAGAGTTTTGTTGCTTTGGGAAGTTCTCAGCTTGTGTTAATCGCTTTCTGCTCCTCTGTAGCTCCTTCTTCTCCATGAAGGGTTATGCAAGCATAAAGGTCTGTCATCTTTCTTTCTCTATGGCAGGGATTTCTTTGTCTGCTTTCCCTTTGAAAAAGCTTTTTGCTGATGGAGTGCTCTCCATGCTTTCTCATCTGCTTTGAATGTCCTTAATTTAGTATGACAGACTCTTAAACTGCAGAAAGGTTATATTTAGGTTTTGTTCCTGGTACATCTGAGCACTGTGCTTGATTAGTTACATTTTTTTCGCTTTGCTGTCAGGTATTACTTTAAAATTGAGTTTCTCTTGCTAGCCTGCCTGTGTTCTCCTCAGACCCACTGGAGAGTGCCATAGGTACACATTCAAATCTTGCATTTGAGCCAATAAAAAATGATCAGAATCTGCACAGGGCTTTGACTGTGTTCTGCATCTTTAGGGCACGGTGTTGGACACATCAGCCCAGAATTTGATACTCCAGATTTCTCAGCATAACTCTTACAAAGGCTCCTTGTACCTTCCAGGAAGCCCTTAACTTCTGGCTGGGGGCACTGGGATGGCAGGATAAGGACAGTCCTGTTTGGGTGAGTTTGGCCAGTGCTTGTCACAAAGATGAGGCAGAAAGGGTAATCCAGCCAGTGTGTATTTCCTCTGTGATGTTACTGGAGAGAGACAGTTATTGCAGAGTGATTCTGTGAAACATCCCTGGGTGATGTCCTTTAGAGACTCTCAGAAGTCTCCTGTTGTCCACTCACCTGGAGGACTTGAGAATGGACCCGTGGCTTGGCTGGGAAAGAGGAGTCTGTCAGTGCCATGACCAACAGAAGCTCTGTGAAGGACTCTCAAGGGTTTTTACAAATCTCACAGAGTACTGTCATGTGTCACCTTCATGAGTGGATCCCCTTGCCTGCATTACAGCATGTCTTAGAGGTAGAAAAGGTACAAAGGGGGGAATGAGAAGCTGGAGAGCAGTGCCATGGAAGGCAAGGTGAATCTGAGTCAGCAGTGCCCTGGCAGCCACGAGGGCCAACCCTGCCCTGGGGTGCATGAGGCACAGCATGGCCAGCCAGGCAAGGGAGGAGATTGTCCCACTCTGCTCTGAGCTGGGGCAGCCTCACCTCGAGTGCTGGGGGCAGTTTTGGGCCCACAATGTAAGAAAATTCTTAGAGAGTACCCAAGGAGGGCAGTGAGGATGGTGAAAGGCCTTGAGAGGAAGCTGTGTGAGAAGCAGCTGAGGACACTTGGGCTGATCAGCCTGGAGAAGAGGAGACTGAGGGGAGACCTCACTGCAGTTACAACTTCCTTGTGAGGGGAGAAGGGGGCAGATGCTCATCTCTTCTCTGTGTTGACCAGCAACAAGGAATGGCCCAAAGCTGTGTCAGGGGAGGTTTAGGTTGGGTATCAGGAAAAGGTTCTTTACCCAGAGAGTGTTTGGCCACTGGAATGGGCTCCCCAGAGAAGTGGTCACAGCACAAACCGGACAGAGTTCAAAAAGCATTTGAACAGCACTTTCAGGCACATGGTGTGACTCTTGGGGATGGTGCTGTGTGGGACCAGGAGTTGGATGTGATGATCTTTGAGGGCCCCTTCCAACTCAGCTTATTCTGTGATTCTGTGAAAACATCAAGAATTCCTACCTGCATCTCCTGTCTGCAGCATTCTGGTTTCCAGTGTCAGCAGGAAGTTTTCATGTTATTTTCTGTCTACATTAATTTAGTTCACAGGAGCTGGTGTCATGTTCTCTAGGAGGCAGCTGCACCACAGGTCGTGTCTGTACACACTGTACCAAATATCAGGGCTGCAGGAATGCTCAATAATTCACATGCACAGCAACCACAGGCATTCTCTCCATCTGGAAGAGACAAGACACTGAGAAATGGCATGCGAGAACACTAGCAAAGACAAGCTATCATCTCATGCAGTAATTGCTCATCTATTTTATTAATTATTGTTTTTGATTGAATTTCTAATTACAGAGTTCTGTCTGCTAGATGAACAGCAAGGAGGTTTTGAAAAAGAAAGTACAGAAGGCTCAGCTTCTCCCCATTCAGTTCAATTCAGAGATGCTTCATTCCTCTATCAGCCAGATGCTGTTGATAATGAGATGTACTCTGGGGCTAAAAACCTCGTTCCCAGTGATGCTTCTATAACTATATTGAAACAAGGTATTACCAGAAATGCTTTGCATCATAATATTACAATGCATTAAATAACCTGATAGGCAGAAATAATCTGGTACAATAGTAAGTAAGAAATCTTGTTAGTTCACTTTAATAGCTCTTACCAGGAACTCTTGGGAGAAGGCACTGAAAGAATATTAAAAAATCAGTTTGCAGTGAGTGTATGCAGTGAACTCTTTCTGTGAATTTTCTGAATCCATCTGTCGTAAATATCATCTTACAAAGTCAGATGGTGCTTTTGCATTCCAGATAACCTCTGCAAGTTTAGTGGTGATGTATGCTTTCATTCAGAAGGGGTCACTGAAAATAGTTTCTCATTATTTGAAAAATATGCTCAGTAAAGCTTCTCAGTTACAGGTTAAGTCTCAGAAATAGACATCTCCCTTGCCTTCACTTAGCCTCATTATTTTCTGAGAAGCTTTGTAACTGAGGAAATCAAAATGTGGTTTAAATGGAGATTTGCAAATTGGTATAATGGCCCAGGTACAAGTTTTTATTGTAGGAATGTGGAAAGAAGAGGCAGGAATGTTACTGGTGGAATGGAATGGAAGAAGGGAAAACCAGCCAAGGTTTCAGAACACACTGCTTTTCCTCAGTTCTTGGTGGAGTTCTTACAGCTGGTTTTCCTGATGAATATCACCCTCTTGTCTCTAAGTTTCCCCCTTGATAAATAAACAATATGTAAAAAACACTTGTGAAAGAATGGTATGCCACCGTTCTATTTTTTGTTTTAGTTTGCCAGATCTATTTGCTTTTCTTGCTTAAAAGGCTCAGAGGTTTCTTTAAATAATTTAACCTCTGCTGTCTCTTGGAAAATGAAAAAGCTAAAAAAAATTGTTTTTACTAAAGAATTTGGAAGTACATTTCATTTTCTGTTATTTGTATAGACAAATTCATACCATTGCATCAGATAAACAAAATATCTGCCTGTGGCTGGGCTTTTTTTTCCCCCATTGAAGTAATTTTTTAGTTATAAAGGACGTCTTTAAACAGAGCGTGTTTCTTGACTGGAATGACACAAAGGAAAATTTCTTTTAAACAAATTTGAGAACACTTGTATGCCCACATTTTTGGAATGTGGAAAAAAGAGCCATTCCAACCTTCCAGTTGGCATTGTTGATTTGAAAGCTTCATTTTTTTTTTAGCAACATGGTAATTTTATGTCACAGAAGATTTAATTTCAGTATCATAGTTGAATTGTGAGAAGATGAATGCAGAGCATTGCCTTGTACTTAATGAGTACTCTTCATTCTGTCTTATAAATGAACGTTCTCTGGAGATAAACTTCAAAGTGGAAGACTTAAGATGTAGTTAGTTTGTTAACATTAAAGTATTGGATTTCAAAATATTTAAAACACTATACACCAAAATGTGGATTCTTGGTAGCTGTTCTTCTTTCTTAATGTTTGCATTGGGGTTTCATTGGCTCCTTAGGAAATAAAACCAGATCTGTTCAAACCTTACATTATAACTTGTGCTGGTGGAAATCAGGATGTCAAGGTGTGGTGACAAATGAGCTTGTGAAACACATAGCAAAATGTTATCTGGTTTTACTGTCATTTGTGTAGAAATACTTAGTTTTATTTTCCACTGCTTTCTTGGGAAAGATCTGTCGCGGTTGAAGACCCAGTTCCAGCCCTTTGTGAAGCTTCCTGAAGACAAGCAAAGAGCTTTGTATAAAACCCTTTGTGAACTCTTGCTCCATGAGGAAATGGTGACTGCCCTGGGGGACATGGTAAGATGAAGAACCTTTGGATTTCTTCCTAAAAGTAATTTCAGAATAGTACTGGCATTCCCTTTTGCTTGGATTTTTCTCTTTTCAAGAAGTTTTGCTTATTCTTTTCCTTTCAGTTGGATGATATCTGCACAGGAGACAAGCCAGATCTGGAGGAGTTAAAACTTGAAGAACAAAGAGACCTCCTTGATTTCTTGCAGCTCTTAGGGTGCAGTTTAAAGAGTGAGCTGTTGTTGCAGAAATATCAGCCTCAGGATGAAGAACTTTTCTCAGCTGCTCACCTTCTTATCAGTGCTATATCTGGTATGTTGCAAAAAGCCCTTTTAAAAATTTTATTTTCCTTTTAGAAGCTCCCTCCATGTTAAAGTTTTTATGGCTTTGTTTGAGCAGTTGGTGAGCTGCATGAACATAAATTTTTCTGTTCCCTTTTTATGAGTTTGGTATACTATGCTTAGCATTCCTGGCTGTGAATTAAATTCAGTCCTCAGTCACTGACAGATTTTGTGTGTAAATTACACATTCCCCCAAGACTGCTCAACTTTGCTTCTGCTGAGTGTGAGCATTTGCAGTTTGGCAAGCTAATTTTTGTACTTATTGCATGCCAGAGTCCTTCCTGCCTAAAGGCTGAGAATTACAAATTAGGTGTTGTCTCCTGTGTAACAGTGTATATTGTTCAAGTTCAAACTAAATTTAGCAAAAATGAGTTTAACACAGAGACACTGCAATTAGAGAGCTCTGTTGCAGCTGCTGAAACTGGAGATTAAACATAAATGTCAGACAAATGCCATCCTCACAATCTAGTTGGCACCACAGTGTTAATTAAAAGCTACCTGCAAAGTCCAAGACAGACTACCCTGGATTTTTCTCTTCTGTCTTGTATGTAAAGAATTCCCTGACATTAAGATAACGAAGGAAAGTCCAGTGTAAATTGTGGCACCGTGCAGCAGAATGTCAGTGTGCATCCACATATGCACAGGACCCAGGTGGGAGAGCTTAACTCATTTGTGGAGAGAGAAAAGAAATAGAAAACAGAAACCTGCTGATGTGGTATCAATTGTCAGATGCCATTAACAGCAGGGCACAGTTAATTGAGTGTGTTGCATTATTACCTGACTTTGGACATAATGTCTGCTGCTAAAGTCCAGACATAAATGTAGCTGGATCTAGATTCAAAAGCTGTTTTATGCTTGTTGCTTGTGGTAGGAATTACAGCCTCTTTGTTCCAGAGTTGAAGGGCACCACAGGGATCCTCTAGTCCATCTCCCAAGGCAGTCTCAGCTCTGCCATTCCTCTCAGATTGGGCATGGCAGAAGTTAGCATCACCTATGGATTTGGGAGCATAGGTTCTTGGTTGATTCAAGGCCTAAGTCATTCATCCAAACTCCAGACTCAGAGTTAAACACTGAGAAGATACTTAGGGAGAGGCATGGTGTTGGGGAGGAAACCTCCTTTCCTATAAGTGCCTGTTCTCAAGGACAGAGATAGTCAGACCCTCTGCCCATCCCATTCTGTTCTGCTGGCAGGAAGGGGCTGGATCAGCCCCTTGCAAACATCCAGCTGAGGAGGAGCTGTTAGCTCCCCGCTGAAGCTCCAGTTCCAGCAGCCAGCCTGGTGTAGGGCTCGCTGGAAATGACCTTTGCCTGTGCATGTGTCCTCCACAGAGCTGCCTGATGACACCCTTGTGCTGCTGCGTGCCTGCTGCGATCTTCAGCTTGTTCCAGCCTTGTGTTGTTTGGTGAGTAATGGACGTGAGATGTGCTCGTGGGCACAGCAGCGGGAGTGGCTGTGTCCTCTGCCATGTTTCTCCCCAGTAAAGGAGGAGATGTCAAGCTCCAGTGGGAATTTCAGCTGTAGGCAGTGCTTAGGTCAGAATCTGACATGGCAAATGCAGCACGTAATTTACTGCACGTGGATATATAACTTCTGATCATTGCTGTGTTTGGGAGATTTCATGGCTTGGGAGCAAAAGAAAATTGTGACTTAAGCTGTTTTTCTAATAGTCCCACTGTTTTAAAGTCTCAGTAACAGTAATCATCTCTCCTTGGGAAACAAATTTCAGTTTGATAGCAACAGTGCTTGAGCCTTGGCAAACCCTGAAGTCTCAAAACTCTGAGGCCATTTATTGTAACTGCAGAAGGAATGGTGCAGGGCATTAAAATAATGCAGCACCTCTCCTGTGAGGAAAGAGTAAGAGAATTGGATTTGTTTAGCCTGGAGAAGAGAATGCTTTGGCGTGACCTAATTGCAGCCTCCCAGTACCTGAAGGAAACTTACAAAAAAAATGGAGAGAGACTTTTTACAAGAGCATGTAGTGACAGGACAAGAAGGACTGGATTCAAACTGAAGGAGGGTAGGTTTAGATGGGAAGAAGCTCTTTACTATGAAAATGGTGAGGCACTGGAACAGGTTGCCCAGAGAAGTTGTGGATGCCCCAGCCCTGGAAGTGTTAAAGGCCAGGTTGGATGGGGCTTTGAATAATCTGGTCTAGTGAAAAGTGTCCTTGCCTGTGGCAGGGGGGTTGGAACTGAATGATCTTCTAAGGTCCCTTCCAACCCAAAACATTTTCTATGATTCTGTGATTTTTCTAAGCTTTTTAAAGTCACTTAGAAAAACAGTAGTAAAATCCTTTAAATATGTAGGAGCAGGGGGAGTTCTTTTGTTTGCTCAGAGTGATAGGTAAGTGTGATGTGCAGTGAGAGAAGTGGAACTCAGGGAATGACACAGTAGGAGAGATGTTTCCCCTTAAGTTGTGCCATGGAGCTTTGGTTGTGGATCAGTACGTCGTACTTGTCAGGGCTAATAGCAAAGGAAATCTTGACCTTTTGCTGCTGCCTTGTCAGCTCTCCTGTGGTTTTATGTGAAACTGAGCTGTGCAGTGGCAGGAACAGCAGTGCCTGGAAAATGTTTTAATGTCTCTGTCTTTTGCTGTCTCTCCTGAATGCAGCCTAACGTCGCTTCATCCGATGGCACTGTGGTGCTGAGCAGTCCTTTGGTGGCCGCTCTGGCTGACAGAGGAAGATTTGAGGTCGTGCAAAGGCTGTTTGCTTCATCAAACATTAATCTGGAGATGACAGAGTCTTCTGTAAGAGCTGTAACCATGAAAGAACCGAGATTCTTCCCACTTGTTCTTTATGTTGCACTGTATGGATTTCATGCTTTAGGTGGGAATGTATAGGAGCTGTACTGAGTGTACAGTTCTTGCTGTAGCCTGTTGCTTCTTTTGTAGCTCTGTAATTTTGGTGTGTTTGGGATCAGCAGTGAAGCTCTTCTGTTGGTACTTAATGCAGCACAGCCAGGAATTAGGGTGACCAGGGGACTCTGCAGTTTCAGTGGAAAGTACATAAATAAGGGATGAAGGGGAGAAATTAAAAAAGAGAGCCATGGGAGAGAAGCTGAACGTAGCTGCTCTGGTAGGTGTCAGATCTGCAGGGCAGTGAAAGCCTGATTGCTTGCATTAATATGCATGGGAAAAAGCAGCTAAGTACAAACTGCTTTTTGTAAGCAAGCAAACAGGCAGACCCTGGAAACCCAGGGTTCTGCAATGCAGCAACTGCTTTTCTCCTTGAGCCTGGGTGTGCAGAATGCCTTCACTCTGGAGCAAGTGCAATGGAGGGCTCTTGAAAGGTACTCGATTAGATTCTCTTAATTATTGTTTGACTTTTACGGATATGAACTGCACACTGCAGGAAATAACAAAGCCTCTTTTTCAACCACCAAGACCCACTTCAGGGATTCATACCTCTGTACAGCATTCTGTTTTCTGGTATGTTTTTACTTGTGTTAGCAAGTTTCAGCTGCATTCTGAACTTTGGCATGGCAATGCCTTCTGGTGTGTGCACATGAAGGGTCCCTGCTGCACACCACAGAAATGATCATTTTACCATATGACATTTTCAATGCAGATATTTTGCTTGTTTCTTTGACTAACAGAAAAGTATTAGTAAAGCACTATGTGCTTGAACTATTTTGCATGTTTTTTCATCATAATTTTTTATAATCATGGATGGTACAGAAATGCAGCAGAGATCACTGTAAATGTGGGTTTGGGAAGATGTTCCAAGTAGGTGGAGTATCAGTTGAGATGGCTGAGAGACAAATGAGCAGGCACCTGTGTGGGGGTGATCAGTAACCAGGCCCTGCAGCGTAGCTGGTGGGTAGGAGTTCTGCTCGCTTCCCTGCTCTATTCCCTCATGGCCTTGAGCAGATTGTCTAAGAGGCCTTTAAAAAATCACATCAGTTCAGCTTTCCATGAGGACATGGAATTTGCAGGAAAGCACCACGGTGCCTCTCCACTGCCTGGGAGCTCAGGTAGCTCTGCACGCTGGGCCGTGGGCGTTTCTGCAGCTCATCTGTTCAGGGAAGCTCATGGTGTTGCCGGAACTTTGTGCTGGTGTAGAAGGAAAGATCCTTGAGGAGCTGAAGCATGGAACTCTGCTTCTGGGAGCAGTGTGTAAGTGGGACAGTTGTCTTTTTACCTATCACTTCTAAGAGTCACCTCTGTAATGAGTTTACGAAAACTTTCTATTAAATGCTATAGAAAAAACAATAGAATAACTTACACGTCCTTTCCATTGTTTTTCTTTTGGGGACTACATCTTTGACAAACAAGCGACTCCAGACTGGCCTCACATGGAAAATGCTTTTCCAAGCTTAGATATGGTCTTCCCTAGCAAAGGAGGTGGTAAAAGACCCATAGAGTGCTTCAGAGGAGGCTGAAGCTTGTCTGATGAAGGGTGTGATTTCACACCCTGATTTAACCTCCCCAAAGTCCTGCTTCCCTTTGCCTTGCCCAGGAGGAAGGTTGGAGAATCCATACCTTTGCAATGCAGGAGGAGGTCAGCAGCCTTTCAAAGAGTGTGCAGAGGCCAGCAGGCTCTGCCTTGCCGCCAGTCCCCAGCACCTGCCTCCTTCCAGCTGCCCAAATCCCTCCCTGGGCTTTGTCCACTGGCCCATTCCAGTGTGGGCCCAGGAGATTGACTCCCTTTGAGCTGCACTGCTCAGAAAATCACGTGCCCAGGTTCAGCAATGACGACATTCCCAGGGTCTCCCTGTGCATGGAATGGGGATTTGGCACATTCACGAACAGGGAGATAAACAAGACTAACTGAAAAGCTGCTTTTATAAAAGTGGAGCACCAAAATCCAAAGATAAAAGGCAGATTCAAAGACTGGTCCTTGATACCTTACGTGGCTTAAATGCAGACTATGACAAAAAAAAAAAAAAAAGAGAGAAAAACCTAATTACATTTTTTCAATATTAAATCTTTATTATATACAAAAATATTTTGTTGGGAATTAACAGAATTTCATCATTTGTACATTAACATTTTTATGTTTGGCTGTGTTTATTGTGAAAATATTAGCTGTGAAAAAGACAAGGTGGGGGGGTCTTAGAAAACAAGTCACAATTTAAAAACATCCCACATAGTAGCTGACTTTATCAGTATGAAGTCACAATGCTAACAAGTCCCATATCCTAGGCCTGCTCTACAGTACTGTATTCAAACAATTAGGTACTAAATAATTTCCAGGTTTATATTAAAAAATTCAGCTAATTCAGGTTAAGGTTTTTCTTGTAGGAAGTTTTCAGCTAAAGAAACTAATTTTTACAGGAGAGCAGTTTTGGAAGTTTTACAAATTCAAATTCAGGTTAATTTAATATACTGTAGAAATAAAAAAAAAAAAAACCACGAAACAGAAAACCATGAGACCTTCCAACTGGCAAAACCAGTTGTGAGAAAAGCAAGGTAAGGAAATGCCTGGTGACAGAGCTCTAATACACATTGAAACCCAAACACAACCAAGATCCTACAGTTCTTAGCCTGGTGTGAGGGTGGAGAGCAGCAACTTTCTTGTGTTTTAAACCCCACAGAAGCAGTTCCCCTCCCTACACCACAGTGCACAAATGTTACACATGGGCAACACATGGGGAGTGGGGAAGGGATGCTCAACATGCATTTTCCTAGGGGGAAACAATATATTTCAAGAGTTATCTCCACACATAATTGTGTACAAGACCTAAACCCACAAAAATCAGTCAAAACCTTTTTTTTTTTGTCTGTACAAAGCAGCGCTGTTCATTTTGCTTTATGCTATGGATCATGTGAGAAGTCAGGTAACAGAGAGATTGGATTTTTGGAAGAGGCTCTGCTGTACTCAGGTAAATGTTGGCTGCTTGTGGAGTAACCAACAGTTGGCTCAGCCATGGGAACAACCAGAAATTGCATGGAAAAGTATTAGCATGGAGCTACTGACATAAAAAGGAAGAGGCTAAATGGGAGAAAGTGTTTCCAGGACTACTTTAACTCTGTTACCTGACCACTGTCCTAGCAGCAAAAGGAACTCCATACCCAATGAGCAAAAGAAACAGTTCCAAATACCAAGAAAAAATTACTTCAAGTGTCACTTATTCTATAAAATATAAATATTGCTGAACCCCTGCTAAATAAATTCCATTTGTAGGTGAAGCTACATCACAGCCTTCACCAAGCTGGGGTTTGTTTTTAGGCCTGTACCAGTAAATCCCAGCTACAGTACCAGCAAATGAACTGAGAATTCAGCAGCTGACAGTGTAACTGTGGAACAGGATCCCACTGCAGAGAACTCAGGTAATTCAGGAGACACTGCCTGAATTGCTTGCAGCATTTACCCCAAAGTTTTATTTATATATGTATATATATGGGTGTTTGTGTGTGTGGGCACAAGCACGCTTTTAATATGATCAGAAGCCAAAGCTGCCTGTAAAAATAACCAAAACTGATTATTTTACAAGTGTTTACTATTTTTATTTTTAGGATCTGTCTTGGGCCTAAAACCAGTGAGTTATACAAGTCCTAAATACTGATGTTTTTGTTAACTACTATTTCCTCTATAAGACACAAGTTGAGAATCCCACACAATTCCCACCAGCAAGCCTGTTAAACACATGTGAAAACTAAGAAGTACAGGCCAAAAAAGAAGAAACCCAGGGAAAATAAAAAGAAAGGCCAGGACTTCACTTCAGCACTGTCAGTCACAACAGCCCACCAGAGAAAGTAAATTAAAGCAGGCTTAAGGATAGACCCCCTTTCAGTGGCCCAGGAGAGGTTTTTATTGCAGGGAGAGGAGGGTGCTGGGAGCTGAGGGGTATTTAAGGCAAGAGGCCCAGCAGACTGCGAGTCTTTGATCCAGTACCCACCACACAGACACCAATAAAATGATCTCACCACTTCTGCAAAGTAGCATCATGAATTTTGGCAATAACCATGTGGTACTTGAACTCTTTGGACTTTGGGTGAGGCAGGGAACCCCGCATGAAGCAAAGAGCCTGTACAGATGTGCAGCACACGGGACAGAGCCCAGCTGTTGGTTATCCCAGAGCTGCCCCCACAGGCACAACGGGCAGTGGGGCAGCTGCTGCAGGAGGCACTGTCCATGCACTGGGACACGGCCTCAAGGTTCAGTGGGAGCAGAGAAGCAACAACCTACAGGAAGCCTGGCTGGGAAACCATGGGAGAGGTGAAGGGAGTTTATGTTCACAAGATTGGCTCATGTGTAAGGACAGGTAAGAACCCAGTTCCTGATCTCAGGAGCGCTCTGCTTGATCGCTCTCCGCTGGTCCTTGAGCATTGCAGAGGCCCACTGGGCTCAAAGGGGTACCTAGCCAGGGATTTTCTGTGTTTCAAAGAGAAAGAAGTTTCCTATTTCTTAGCTGAATCACCCTCTTCAAAAAACAAACCCAAACCCAGGTGACTTCCTGAGCACTGAGCTGCAGGCAATTTGTAAGCAAGTCACTTAGGTAGGATTTTAGAAGATGCAGCGAGTAGAGAGGATGAAAGAAAACAATGTCACAATTTGAGCTCAGCCAAGATGTGACAGTTTATATAAACAGAAATTCAAAAGCGATGAGCTGATCTGCCATCCTGCTCCACAAAGCTTTTGTACAACTAAGTACACAGAGCTGCCCTGAGCCGAGAACACGGCACAAGTCACAGATACTGCCTTGGCTATAAACTTGATTTTCCTTGCCTACAAAGATCTGTGATTCTGCTCCATGTTAATCTTTGTTGCAAAGGTTTGCAGAACATTTTGAAAGACCTTTATAAATCTATGTAAGATGATGTATTCCATTATAATTATCCCACTAAACTTGGACTGCATCTTGATGCAGAACCTAAAGCAGACCTGCTATAACACTTGGAGACAGCAAGGTCATCACCTGGGTACACAATGCACCACAGTATTTACAGGAGAGCTGAGACTGGTGCACGCTTAAGTGAATTTTTGGTGAATTCAGGGAAATAACTTACAGGTCTTGGCATACTGACTGTACTTCTATGTATAACTTTTCATTCACGGGGCAACTACAATGTTTCTTCTATAAGTCTCTATATGTACAGAATTTTACAGCACCTCATGCACTGTCCAAAACATAGAAATTACAGATAAATATAGGTTGTTTTTTTTTTAGATTGAAATATCTGTATATTTAGAAAAATATACATTAGTAAACACAATAAACCAGGTAGAGAAGTGTACCAGTTCTAAAGTCTCACATGCAGGTAACATTTCTGGATTAAGTCGTGGTAGCTTAGTAATGTGATAACCAACATGAGCATTTTTTGTTTTACCATCCACATACATATACACAGACAACTATTTGATAATTTACTTTTCCTAAACTACTTAAATATTTATCTTGTGATACATACCACATATCTTAAACATTTAGCAGCATCTTCACCTTGCTCAGACACACCTATTGTACTCTTTAACAGTCAATGTAATGTTTTCCTGTTAGAATCTGGAAAATGAATGTTTAGTACAGAATGAGATAACATGAAATCCCAGTTATTTTAACTCCTCCAAAATACTCCAAACAGGTGTTTTATGAAATGTTTTTGCCTGCTCAAAATGAGCCTCTCATAGTGTCTTCTCCCCTAATTGCACAATGTACAACAGCTGATGCAGCACACCCCCGGCAGGTAGGGACCGTCACAGCTGTGGATGTGACTGAAACAACACCAGCATTTCAAGAACCTCCAAGAACATTCCTTTTAAAAAATAGTAACTGTTTTTCTCATTCCAGTCATTCTACCAGGTGGGGACAAACTAGGCAAAGTATCTGATGAAAATCTGACTATGCCAAAACCCAAAACTACCAAAAAACAAAAGCAATCTCCCTCCCCCTCTCACCATTAAGCAAGCCACTGTGAACACTCAAGCTTTAACACACAGATGCACAGGGTGTGGTGTTTGGGTTTGGGTTTTTTCCCCCCAACCGGGCACACAGACAACCGAATCAGACCTGCAGATACTTCCACACCATCTTTGTGCCAACCCAAGCAAGTCACCTTCTTCTCTTACTGCTTCAGAACTGCAATGCAGAATTGCTCACTGCCATCTACATCACCACCACCACCACCACCACCACCCAAAGCTCAGCCACAACACCCCACCTCCTGACTTAAACCCACAGAGTGAACCTGAAGCAAACATTCAAGCTTTAGGAAATACGTGACTATTCTGGAGATTGCTAACTAGGGAGACACTCTTGATAGTGTTCTCCCTGGGATGGAAACA